CTTCCTCTCCATTCTCCATCTTCTTCCTCTCCATTCTCCATTTTCTTCTTCCTCCTCTTCTTCATCTTCTTTCTTCTTCTTCTTCTTCTTCTTCTTCTTCTTCTTCTTCTTCTTCCACCACTTTATTTTATTTTCTTTCAAGGATTAAGCTTGTATTATGGATTCAACTCTTGGACTTGGATTGATTGTAAGTTTAATTTTTCTTTGAATTAATTCATGCATAATGGTTAATTTAGGGGAAATATTTTGTTGTGTTGAATCAATAATGAGTAGCTAATCCTTTCTGCTAGGGATAGGGGATGATTGTTCTTGATTAATTTCGTTATTATTGGGCTTTAATTTGTTCCTGCTAGTGCGAGTTGCTTTAATTAGGGTTAATTAATTCTTACTTGATAACTTGATATAATCGAAGGGTGACACTTCGATCTTGCAATTGGTATCAATTGAATGTTAATTTGTCGAGTTAGGGTTTGTTGGTTCTATATGATTAGTTGATTAAACACCTTCTAGTTGAATTAGCGACTTTTAGAACTGAAATGGGAGAAGTCGTAGACCTAGGCTCGCATGAGATAGATGATTTCGTAACTGAATAGTCTATAGGTTTTGGATTGAAATACATACTTGCCGATGACCCGTCTCTTGTTACGAAAAGTTGTTGAGACTGGGATAATTGACATGTGTTGTATGCTCGAGCTAGCTCGTCTATGTTCAATCCCTTGTTACGAAGAGTTATTGGGAGCGAACCGCTAGATGTCTAAGCGAGAGTGTCAATCTCGAACCGAACAATTGATTGCCCGATTTTGCTTAGAACTTGAATTAATTATCCCCGATTTCCTAGCTTCTTTATTGCTTTCTAGTTCGTACTTTAGGTTCGTTTTTGTTTGCTGTTGATTTCTAGGTTGATAATATATTTCTCATTTCTGATTAGAGTGTTTAGGTTTTTATTTTCTTTTTGTGTGAAATCAATACCGAAGTTAAATTCCGAACCGCCTTCCCCGAGAGATCGACCCGGGAAACGAATCCTTGATTCGGTACTCGGTAAAATATAACAATTTGTACACAACAATACGCTTTGGCCTATCAGTAGTCTCAACTTCTCTAGAACCCAGTCGTAACTGGTCTCTTTCTCGTCCCTGATGAGGGCATACGCAATTAGGAAGTTCTGGTTGCACGGCGTCATCCCAATCATCTCGACCAACGGCATCTTGTACCTGTGCAAATGTGACCAAGAAGACAAAAAATATAAGCACATAAATATATGCGTCATCACTTTTAAGATTCATACTAATAAAGTATTTATAAAGTAACATACCTGTTGGTTTTATACGTGAAATCTATACCGACATACCAGTGATATGTCCGGAATAGATTGATCGACGCAGGATGGGCCATGAATATATGCGTCAACACTTTCGTGTTCGGATCGGATTCTACATAAACTGTATACTCGCTGCTCACGGCCAAATGCATAAGCTGAGAAGGAACGTCTCTACCGTCGGAACTCTCTCTCCGCAGCTTATCTCTAAAGTTATATACCTGTCACCGATTAACGTTAATTATAATGATTATTATAATTTAAAACAAAAATTTTATTATATTAAAAAATGAAAAAATATATTAATGCGATTAATTTGATAAAAAAATTATTAACTATCACAATAATAATACATTAGTTAATATAATAAAATTTATTAATTATTACAATAACTTTTACATATAAAAAATTACTAATTATCATAATTAACTTAAAAAATTTAATTAAAACATATATTACAAGATATAAATATATATACCTGCCGCACATGAACGTTGTCTCCCGGATTCTTTTCCTTCAGCGCGGCCATAATTTTTTTCGGGGCCACCTGAGCGTCCGTCATGTCACGAACAATTCTCTTAGATGAAGCGCTGAGACCGCTCAACTGGCTATGACCCTCAGGATACACAGCAAATGCATGGTTATGGTAGCCTTTCTCTTCATTGCTACATCTACAGATCCTCCAGTATGGAACGCCGGACACCTTTTTTACTTTGATCTCAAAATTGCAGCCGCACTTATTCGTTTTTGTCCTTCTAGAATTTCCGCCTGTGCCTCTGTACCGTTCGCCTCTATGGCACTTCAAAAGTCTGACCGTTTTCTTTTTGTGGTTCAAAATAATTAATAGGAAACCATTCAGCATTGCCTTCAATAGCCTCCTGAGCACTATTATAGAATGTACGTGTATCGAAACGCAGACTGTAATCAACACCATCTCCTCCAAAATCTTCCCATGACTCCTGCTATATAGTACAATATTTATATTTTTAGAACATGTTAAATTAAGATAATTAATTCTACGATGTAACATAATAATTTGTAACTCGTAACATGATATTATTTAACGTTCAATTAATATAATTTGTAACTCCTAACACGATCACGATAATATCTAACGTCCAATTTATATTATAATAAACATGTAACACAATAATTTGTAACTCTTAACACGATACTATCTAACGTCAATTTATAACATAACTAAAACTAATATGTAATATAACAATTTCTAACTCGTAACACGATAATATCTAAACGTCCAATTTATATTATAATCAACATGTAACATAATAATTTGTAACTCCTAACACGATAAACGTCTAATTTATAGCATAATCAAGTCTAAAATGTAACATAATAATTTATAATATAATAATATAGTCCAATTTATAACATAACTATTTCGAATAAATAACATAATAATTTTTTTTTTAAAAAAAAAAAAAAAAATTACGGCCAGCCGGCCGAACCGGACGGACCGGTTCCGACCGGCTGTCGTTTTTGGACGGCTTTTTAGCCGTCCGGTCGGCCGGTTCGGACATGGCCGGTCCGACCGGCCGTACTTTCCGGACAGCTTTGAGCTCGTCCGGAACCGGCGGCCGAACACCTATTTTTTCGTACCTCCGAATATGACGACATTTCACCGTACACTTTCCTCTGAGATGTTTAGAAAAAATGTGAAGGGCAAAATTGTCCAAGAGGGGCGGTGACTAGTAAAATGGGGGGCGGTGAATAGTAACACCCAAAAAAAATCATAAAACAAATGTAAACCAATTAATTTAAAGTGCTACTACCTGCAAATTTGACTTTGATGACATATATTATCCTTTCTAAAAATTCAGGATTTCTCAGTTCTCAACCCTCAACCTTTCAACCTTCAACCACAAGTCTAAGAAAAAAATCAACTGAAGAATACAGCATGTGGGTCTTCCCATACATAGGCCCCAACTCCACTTTGAAGTTACTATTGTTTTTTCTTCTTTTTCAAATTCAAATTTGATTAAGAATAAAATATATATATATATATATATATATATATATTTAATCAATTCAAGCCTAATTATTATTTTATAAAAATATTAATTTACATTCAAGTCTAACTATGAAGCATGTTTGTTGCCACATTTTTTAAAGTGCGCATCTGACATTTAAGCTATGTTTGATACACCAATAAGCTAGCTTATAGCTTATTTGGTTAGCTTATAAGCTCCCTGTATTTAAATAAGCTCCGTTTGATAGAACGAGCTTATTTAAAAAGCTCGAGCTTATTTGATAAGCTTCTTTTGGTAACTTTTCAAATAAGCTCGTTGAAATTTTTATTTCAGCTAGCTTATCAGCTAGTTTTACCAAACACTTTTATCATATAAACTCACTTTTCAGCTATAGCTATAAGTTCAAAAATTACTAATAAGCTATAAGCTAGCTTATCAGCTAAGTTTACCAAACATAGCCTATAGCTTATTTGGTTAGCTTACAAGTTTCCTCTATTTAAATAAGCTTGGTTTGGTAAGACTAGCTTTTTTAAAAAACTCGAACTTATCTCATAAGCTTCTTCAGGTAGCTTTTCAAATGAGCTCGTTGAAATTTTTATTTCAACTAGATTATCAGCTAATTTTACCAAACAATTTTATCATATAAGCTAGATTTCCATCTATAAGTTAGAAGCCATAAGGGCATCCACAACTCAAATACACAACTTTCATTCATTCAATAAAAAATTAACACTCTATCTCATCTACATCATCTCCACATCATCTTCCCACTAAATCTCTCAATATTTAAATACACAACCACATTCCTATTCATTCATTTAAATACATATATGGGACCCATTATCCATTCATTCAATATAAATTTTAATATTCTATTCTCAATAAAAATAAATATATAATATTTTTAATATAATAATAAATTTTAAATGCATGAAAATTAAAGAACACTACAAGACCAAAATAACTTAAAGTAGGATAAAATTGAATTTATCATATTGGAAAGTGTGATATAGATAAAATTTGAATTTATCATTTTGAGAAATGTGGTATAGATAAAATTGATTTAGATATATAAAAAGAAAAAATGATTAAAATTAAATGACAACAAAAAAAGCACTCAAAGTGTATTAAAAATAAATGAGAAAAAAAAAGGCACAAAAGTGCCGTTCATTCCATTGAATGGACCAATGGAGGCCCACCCCTTAATAGATGGCCTCAATGCAATGAATGGCAGTTGGCCATTTAAACGGGGCAAATTAATGCCCTGTTGCAGATGCTCTAAGTTATAAGCTCGAAAATTACTGATAACCTATAAGCTAGCTTATCAGCTAGTTTTACCAAACATAACCTTCTTCTTCTCGCCCCATCATCATGCATCTCCTCTGGCTGCCGGCAANAATACTCTCTTCTTTTAGTTACCTAAAAAACGCACCACAATCTCCATGAAGTCGATCTCTGAGATTGTTTGATCAACGTAATCTTCATAAAAGAATTTTTTGAAAATTTATAAGGTAACTCTTATCGAATCCAACCATGTAAAACAACTTCTGTAATGTGTCCGAGTTCGTCTCAGTTTGTTTGAGTTTATATATATATATATATATTCATTTATGTAATTATTAACAAGATATTGTTACAATGAAATTTAGATTTTTTTATTATTTATTACATTCAATTAATTTATTTTACATAGAATGGAGATTGATCAAGACGAAGCGTTCATACCACAGGTTGAATCGTCGGTCAAGCCTATAATAGGACATGAATTTCAATCAGCAAAAAAAACTCTTTATTTCTATAATGAATATGCTAAAGATGCATGATTTAGCACTAAAATTCAAAACAACCAAAAAGATCCAAAAGTTGGCACAGTGGAAAAAATATTTTCTTGCTCTAAAGAAGGGAAGACAAATGTGTCGTACAGAAATAGACGATAGGGGTTAGGACCCAAAATTGAAAAACAAAAATTAAGCCCAAAATGAAAAAAAATAAATATTGAAGGCCCAAAACAAGTTTTGGATTTAACCGGTTAACCGCCAAACCGGACCGTCCAATGCGGTCCGGATTTTGGTCGGTTAAAAAATAAAACCGGTCCGGTTATGGATAAGAAAAAAAATTAACCGTTAGGTCCGGTTTGGTCATGGTTTGGGCTAAAACCGGACCAATCCGGACTGTGAACACCCCTAGTAGACGAGGCGCACTGACAGAAACTAAGGAACGGAAACTTGAAACGTGGGGAGATTCGTTGTAAAACTCGAATGAGTGTTCGGAATAAAAATAAAACTTGGGTGGTGAAGCATTTTATAGAGAAGCACAATCATCCGCTTGCTACCCCTAGGAAGGTTCACTTGTTGAGATCTCATAGAGGTGTGTCCGCCACGTAAAGAGCGCTTGTCCAGGAGTACACAGAGACAAATATACCCACATGCAAACAAGTTAGATTGTTTGAATGATTTTGGTAGTCCCTCTATGATGGGCTGTTTGGAGAAAGATATCCGAATTAATGAAGTAGCGCGTAAAGCTAAATTAAGTGGACATGATGCACAAACCTTATTTCACCAACTTGAAAAAGAAAATGAGAAGAATGGAAATTTTTATTGTACTTATGAAAACAATGAGGGTGGTGTTTTCACCAGGTGTTTCTGCGTGGATATTGAATCAAGAAATTAATATGCGATGTTTGGAAATGTAGTTTTCTTTGATACTACATATAATACAAATAAATATGGAATGATGTTTGCAGCTTTTGTTGGAGTTAATCATCATAGACAGACCACTATATTTGGTTATGTATTACTCAGGAACGAAAAAACATAATCATTTGTTTGGTTATTATTATTATTATATAAACAAATGACAGACCGACCACATCCACAAGTAACTATCATCGATCAAGATGCGGCTATATTAATTGTTGTGGCTGAGGTGTTTCTGAACACAATCATACTTTAAGTGGTATTATTAAAGACTCTGAGACTCCCTATGAGTTTGAGTGTAGGTGAAATTTGTTGATGAGTGATACCCAATGGAATGTTAATGGATGGTTGTAAAAAATGTATGAAATCTGCCATCGTTGGGTTCCAGCTTATGTAAGGGGTGTTTTCGCTGCAGGTTGTCCAATAGCGAACGAATTAAGAGTAATCACGCATTCATCAAAAGGTACCTAGACAAAAAATGTTCATTGGATGACTTTTTCACTCGTTTTAGTAGGCTTATAACGCATTAGAGACATGAAGAATTGATGGCTAGTCATGTTGATCTAAATGAAAATTCGCGGATCAACACCTCATTCGCTATGTAAAAGCAGATGACAGTTACTTATACGAAGTCTATATTATTGTTATTCCAGAAAGAATTGCTATATATGCAAAATGGTATAAAGTTCGAACGATTCCAAATTTTATTAAGTTTGACGGTTTGATATTGAAATAAATACTCACCGCAAGCGACTTTTGACATATGAGATCAGTGAAGATTTTATAGCGTGCAACTGTAAAAAAAAAATTGAGTTTGAATAGTATCCTTATCGACACATGCTATGTTAGATGAGGGTTGAACAAGTTATGTTAGTGCCTAAAAAGTACATTAAGAAAAGGTGGACAAAAAATGCAAAGAGTAACCTTATATATGATATGCCATTTGATTTTGAAGGAGGTGAATCTTTGCAAGCCAGATGTGGGAAGTTAATGAAAATAACAAGAGAGCTCATCAATGATGCACCTTTGACTGATGCGAGAAACACGTTTCTAATGGAAAAACTCGAACTCTTGAAATGGTAGGTTGGTAAGATTGCTGACAAGGAATGCATGAGCAAAAATAGCGTAAAACAATAGACATTTCTTGTATGCAACCACAAGCCTATATGAACTAAAGGTTGTGAAAAGCGTCCATGGTCGAGTAAAAAGAAAGTCATATCTCAAAGTGCTGGATCATGTAGTTCGTGTGGGCAGAAGGGTCATGACATGCGCAAATGTCCCAACCATAGCAATCACCTGATTTATATAGTGGAACGTACCATCCAAATGCAAGTTTGGAACAATATAGGAAGATCAAAGTGCATGTAAATAGTATCTCGAAAGCCGGCCAACATGCAACCAAATGGAGCCTCACCAGAGAAACTAAAACATCAACACCACTCATACTAGAACATACATTCAGTTAACCAAAAAAAGGAGTTCATGTAAAGATAAAAGCAGTCTAGATACTAATTAACACAAGCCACGCAATCCAAAAACAACCGTTTTCCAAATGTGCACCAACAAAAGCAGTTATATTTATTAGGAGCAACTATACTAAGAACCCTTATTAACAAGAAGACAAAAAGAGGCTCATCCAACTATATCTGCAGCAGACAGCACTTTCAACTTCATTCTTGTTCTCGAAGCTTTGCATGTCCTGCCCATCATACATAAACTAAATACACCTCCCACCAGTTTACGAGCCCTGTTTCTTAGAGCCACCACACTTTCCAGTTTTGGGCTTCCCGCGTTTTTTTCCAGAAACGGGAGGAGGTTGGTGGACATGATTAGAAGGCAAAGGATGATATCCAGGAACCCAAGCAGGGAACCCAGCAGCAGGGATTCTGAAATGTTTCAGAAATACAAGATTAATTATCGAATAAATATATCTAAACTGAGGTGAAAAGAAAAAATAATGGGATGCATTAATATCAAATAAATGAGAACATGACCAAAATTGCTTCTTTGATATGTCAAGATTTAATAAAGTGAATTGCATTGATTATATCCAAAAGCAGTTAGAGCTACCTTTGAAGAAATAAATAGCAGTTCAACACGACACAGTACACAATTGCATAAAGGAAAATGATAACTCAAACTGCAAATATAATGATATGCAGGTGTTAACAAATTCATACAACGACTCAGATTAATAAATGCCTAGGCTTCTTCAGGCAACAGAAAGGAGATAAAAGGAGAATCACAAGTATCATAATACATCAAATGACTGGCAAGATAAGTAAAATGATAGAAATCAGTGATACTCTATAATTGAGTGGCTCATATAGTAATCACACTGCAAAAAACATCGGACTGTACGATGAGCAGCTGGTTAATTTGTAAAAACAAAAGAAGCAGCGATAGTCCAACATGTTGACAACTTAAACAGCTATGCTGTGAATATTTAGACATTTGTGCTCAATCGTTATACAAGTAATTTATCCGATGGCAACATAAGGTTATAGTACAGCTGGAAAAAGGGACCAAGAAAAGTCAGTAAATTGCGAATCAAACTTCCAGAACCGAAGGTCGGTAATTGAGTCAAAATTTGTTCTGTTTCAGTTTCAATATTAGGCATTTTCGAAAAAATCGTTGATATCATATGGGGTTTCTGCTCGTTGCCAAAAATGAACCCAATTGATCCGCCCTATGTTATATAATATTAGCACTTGCGAAAACATGATGGTGAGCAGAGTTAGAAGTTCTTACCCAACAAGAGCACAGCAGACTCCTGCTTGGTCGTGGATGATTCAAATGCCTTATTATTGTGCAACGAAAACCGTAATGCTTGATTCTCGGCAAGACAGCACTGGAGCATAATCCCCAGCCTCTTGCATTCGGCTTCATAGTACTTGTTCTTCGCCTCAAGATCCTTCACGTACATCTTCTTCCTTTCCCGTGATCTTACTGCCGCATCCCTATTCCTCATTTGCCTACAATGTCATTTCATACAATACAATTCCTAATTAATTGTGAATCCTGATTAAAAATAAAATAAAACTTGCTCCTATATGTCTCCAGTGATAAAGTGTATGCAACAACAGGAAACAATTCAAGAAAAGAAGACATGACGCCAGAAGTAAGTAATTCAGGTACAATTTGAGATCTAAGTTACAATAGATTAGCATTCCATGACTCAAATATAAGATAGCAACACACAAAAGGGTCTGGATAAAGCACTAGACTTTCAACATCAATATTCAGGAGTTACAAGTTGTACACATGATTGAGAAACCAGGTAATAAATATACATACACGGGGAGTGTAAAAAACATCTTCTGCACTTAGACCATCTCCAGCCCTTATCTCTACTCTAGCGCGGAATTTACTCTACTATAGAGTAGAGTTAAACAACTATCTCCAACCCTTATCTCTACATTTTACTCTACATCAAATATATTATTTTTTATTTCAAATAAATTGGTATATATATATGTTTAATTTAATCTTTCTATTTTTATTTGTGTATTTTGTAATTTATGTGTGTTGTATTTTTTTGATTTTAATATTATACTGTACGATAAAATGGTAATTCTTATTACATATATATATAGGTTGTTTTTATTTGGGTATTTTCTGATTTAAGTTCTATTTATTTATTTTGATAAAATTACATTTTATTATCTATAATAATTTTTAATTTATTTTTAATTAACGTGATATAATTATATTCTTCATAAATAAAAATTTGTCTACAATCCTGTTTTGCGAAGAAACACAAAGAAAGCAATCCTGCTTTGCCTAAAACCCAAAAAATTTAGTCATTGTGATTAATTAAATGATCAAATAGTTACGTAGCCCATTGAAACTTCTCAATTGCAAAAGTTTACGCCAACAAATCTTAAAACAAGGAAAAAAAAAAAAAAGAAAAAGTGTGGCGCATTCAACAGTGCTGCGCTACATATGGCGCAGCACTGTTCATGTATTTGGAGTAGCGCACAAATCTAGCGATACATTGGAGAGCCTTTTCACACAAAAAGTGTATTTTCACGCCAAAGTCACGCAGCACTGGAGATGGCCTTAATATCAGCACATTAGAAACACAATTGTGCATACCACAAAGTTCATCACAAAATTGGGGTTTAGCAATGGTTTATCTCTGCTCACCCATATGGGACCGTATTATACTAACAAATTTCGCCTTTCCCCTCAGAAAATCCACATAATCTCCAACAATAAAAGATCAAACAAAGGAATAAGTAAAGCATAATATCCTTCCAGCCCATCTCCAAACGAATCACGACAAATCCTTACAAAACAGCCATTTTAAAGCAGAAATTCAAGCTCAGAAAGTCATACCTTTTGCGCTTTTTCGCAAGGGGATCATTATCATCATCACCATCAATATTCTGCTTTGTTTGCAGAGCATACGCACCAATATCACCGGGCTCGTCCTTTTCTTTCTCCTCTTCATCCGTCTCTCCCTCAACCGCCGACTCAGGGCTGCCCGAAAACTCCTTAGACCGATCCGGCCCGGGTGACGGATCCAGGACCACGTCCGAGAACAACCCATCAGCTTCAGCTAACAAAGCCTGATCCGTTTCCCCATGATCCGACCCGCTATCATCCATGAGATACTGCTCGATGTCGCCGATCGACAACGAGCACCCGGAATTGGGCGAGGCCGACAGCCCATCGGCGGCGGGTAGATCGCCGAGATTGAAATTCAGGTCATCGGGAAAGTTTTTCAACAGGTCGTCCCAGTCGATTTCTGAATCGCCGACATCAAAGGCACCATCAACCATCACCAACTTCCAATCCAACACGAAGAGAATTGTAGGCAAACGANTAAAACAAAAGAATGAATTATGTGAAGTGCGGAATTTACGAGATGGGGAGTAGAGCAAAGAGGATTATGGATTTTTGCAGGGTTTATGAAGAGTTGTATCGGGTTTCGGGGCACCTGCGGGGATGTTTCCGCTTCCTTCGAGGGGAAGGAGAAAACGATCGGATGATCTGAGCCGTTGGCGGTAGTCTGATCTGAATTAAAGGTGTAAGTTGGAGTGACAACATCATCCAGCCAATCACAAGTCTAGCTTTTTGTAATATTTGGGACGGTGCAATGCACCACCAGCATGTGAATATATTGACAATTACAATTAAAATAATCAGTTAACTTAAATAAATTGGGAGCTTTCTTTAAACATCCTCAATCCTAATTTTAACTTCCAAGTCAGTCCCTAAGGTTAATTTTTTTTTCTATTTCACTCCCTACCCCCTAATCATCTTCCATTTATATCTCTCAACCCACTTCTTGCATTATTATATTCTTTTTTGTTTACCTAAGACTTTTTTCCCACTCTTCTTTCCCGCTTTTTTCTTGCAGCTTCATCTCAGTGGCGATTACAAACCGGACCCTGGGGCTTTTATCGGAGGCAACAAATCCGGCGACCTTAGGGCTTTTTCCGGCCGAAAATCCATGTTTCTCCGGCCAAAAATTCGTACTTTTCTGTCTAAAAGTTCCTATTTTTCCGGCAAGATTGTGGTTTTTTCCTGCCCAAACTTGAAGTAATAAGTAATGTATGTATTATATGAGAACTTTGGAGTCCAAAATTCGTCTTTAATTCATATATTTTTGTTTGATTTGTGAAGAATTGAATTTTGAATATTGTTGTTTATATTTACTCTAAAACAAATAAAGTGATCATAATCCTTTTTTTTTGTTCATGTATACTAAATTTATGCTATTGTTAGGTTATGTTAGGTGTTATTGAACATAAAACAAAAAAAATAAGATGAGAATAATCATAGTACCACTATTCATGATTGTGTGTACCTCTGTTTGGATATATAGTACCACTTTGCTCACTGTTGCTACCGTCTGTGCTGGGAAATGTGAACATTTTTTTTTTCTAATCCAATTATTGTTAGATACATGGAAGGAGCACAAAAATTCCTCTCTCTCTCTCTCTGTCTGAAAATTCATATTTTTCTGGCAAGATTGTGACTTTTTCCGGCGAAAACTTGAAGTAGTAAGTAATGCATGTATTAAATGAGAAGTTTGGAGTCCAAAAATTATCTTTAATTCATATATTTTTGTTTGATTTGTGAATGATTGAATTTTGAATATTGTTGTTTATATTTACCCTAAAACAAATAAAGTGATCACAATCCTTTTTTTTTTCTTGTATAGTAAATTTATGCTATTATTAGGTTATGTTAGGTGCTATTGACCATAAAACAAAAAAATTAGATGAGAATAATCATAGTACCACTATTGATGATTGTGTGTACCTTTGTTTGGATATATAGTACCAATTGCTCACTGTTGGTACCATCTGTACTGAGAAATGTGAATTTTTTTTTTAATCCAATTATTGTAGATACATGAGAGGGGCACAAAAATTTCTATCCCTCTCTCCGAAAATTCTTATTTTTCCGGCAGAAACTTGAAGTAGTAAGTAATGTATGTATTATATGAGAAGTTTGGTGTCCAAAAATCATCTTTAATTCATATATTTTTGTTTGATTTGTGAAGGATTGAATTTTGAATATTGTTGTTTATATTTACCCTAAAACAAATAAAGTGATCATAATCTTTTTTTTTGTTCATGTATACTAAATTTATGCTACTGTTAGGTTATATTAGGTGTTATTGACCATAAAACAAAAAAATATGATGAGAATAATCATAGTACCACTATTCATGATTGTGTGTACCTCTGTTTGGATATATAGTACCACTTTGCTCACTGTCGGTACAATATGTGCTGGGAAATGTGAACTTGTTTTTTTTAATCCAATTATTGTTAGATACATGGAAGGGGCACAAATTAATATGTTAGGGAGTTGTACATGCAAAGATGAAATGTATGTGTTCTCTCTGAACCTCGAATCAACTTGTTGACGGACGTTTCCGATCAACGGTTAAAGAATAAGTAAAAGAAATAAAGGATGAGAAAATGACAAAGAGATGCGGTTTAATTACGATTTTATTATCAGATCACTGGGTCGGCCTGTCATACGAGGTCGACACTTGTGATATCCTTACAATTCTTAAAGTGATTTATTACAAGTCTAGAGAGGAAAGTAGAGAGAGAGAGTTTTAAAGTTGGAAATTCAACAACCCCAAAATAAATGAGGGGACTGCTATTTATAGTGCTCTTAAATGCGGCACTGTTCAGGTACTGTTCACCGGTCTTGTCGAATAGTGGTCTGGCAGAGCAGTCTGGCGTCTCCCTGATTGATATTAAATGCGATTTGAGGTTTTCTTAATCATTGCCTGTCAGATATTTAATGCGCACATGGAGGTCATTTAATGCTGGCAGACTTTACGTCTTCCTCAAGAAACTTTACTGTTTCTGAAATTCTTTCGAGCGACCGAGTTTTTGAGCCAGAATTCAAGGCGATTTTTGAGATTTTCCGAGTTCCTCCAGCGACTTTCACACCGGTAATTTTACTTTTCCAAGATCTTTCTTCTTATTTTCCAATTATGTCGAGTTCTTCTGGTTTTCCGGTGAACCTCCCCGTCGGAGATGGTGGGTATACGGCGGAGGAGACTTGAGAGTTGGTGGTTTACTCTCCCCCGGCGGCAGAGGCGGCACAGCCGCTCAGAGTCACTCCGATTTCAGCCGTCCGCGTAACGCCGGTGGCTACGGCGGCGGGCCTGCACCGAAGGGACCACCCGGACTTCCCCACAATTAAGATCATCGACCTTGGATCTAGTCAGTCTAATGCCGAGGAGGTCGAGAAGGAGACCGGCGCTGCTTCTCCTGATGAGTCCGACGTCGACGCCGAGCTGGTGGATGAGACGCTTTAGGGCAACACCCATGGGTGAGAGCGGGTCCCTATTGGTCGCGAGGACGCCGAGACCGATGCCTTGGTCGAAGCGGTGACCTCGGCTCCCCCTAGATGTTGGTGCCGCCCTCCTCGCGTCTGGCCGTCTGTTGCATCGGCGACTGCCTAGACCACCGCGTCGGTGCTGAGGGATGTCGACCTCGCACAGCTGAGGAGGAAGGTCTGCTTCGGACCAGGGGTCAGAGTTTTTGCCCCTTATGCCGGCGAGCGCATTCACTGCCCCTCGCCGGGCTGCATCGGCGTGTATCGCTCGAGTATCCTGTTCGGCCTTCGATTCCCGCTGCCGGGGGCTCTGAACGACATCCTCAGCGACCTCGACATCGGCATCAGTCAGCTCGTGCCGACAGTCTTCGCCCTGTTGGTCAGTCTCATCGTCCTTTTCCGCCAGCAGGGCTGGGCCGACCTGACCAGCGACGATGTGAAGGCTCTGTTCATCTTCAAGAGATCCAGGGAGACTGGCAATTACTACAGCTCGGTCTCTCCGGCCGTGGACAGGTCTCTAATCCACAAGGTCCCAGAGTCGTTGCACGGCTATATGCCGGAGTGGTTTTGGGTCGGCAGCGAGTGGATGACACCTGAAGCAACTCGGCACCCATCTACTGGATTCATCTCCGGCACTAGCTATATTTTCTATTCGCTTCTATCCTTCTGATTCAGTGTCTTTCCATGCTAACAGGTCGATATTTGCGTTTCAGTCCACAATCCTCGGGTTGATCCAAGTGACGATCTGGTCAAGAAGATCGAAACCCTGCTGGGACTTGCAGAGGGGAATAGGTACTACAAGGACCTTGTTGCTGAGGAAAGTCTGATTTTGCACGGTCTTTGTCCCGAGTACAACAGCAAATCCTTTCAGCCCGATATGATTCCTTTCCTTTGATCTCCTCGGGCTGTTCTTTTTACATGTGACAGCTCTTATTTTCATCTTCTGTTTTCCTTGGACAGTATACTACCCCTTCCTTCGTGAGTGTGGGTTTAGCTCGGTAAAGGAGGCAAACAAACACGCCCGCGCCCATCCGAACTCATTGAAAGAGTGGAAGATGGCCAGTCGCATGGACTTTTTGACGAAACAAAGCAAGAAGAAGGCTCCGGCGTCGGGCTCGACGGGGACTTCGGGTCCCGTGCCGCCAAATCCCGTGACCGAGGGCGTTCCTTCTCAGGAAGCCGAGGTACCCCCCGGCTCGGTGCCGGTGGCCCTAGACACCGCGAGGGACGGTCGAGCTGGCAGCCGCGGTGGCCGGACTGGCACTCGTGCGACCGGTGCCGGCCGTAGCCGGGGCGATACTGGTCCGAGTGCCGCTACACGACAGAAGAAGTGCCGGCTCCTTGCAGAAGATCCGGACTCCGAGGAAGAGGCGGAGGCCGAGAAGCAAGGCGCGGCCCCGCCGTCGTCGAAAAGGAACAAGGCCGCCGAGGCCAAGAAGACGGCCCTTTCTGGCGAGTCGTCAGCCTTTGTCCATCAGGCCGGGTCCTCCACTTACGTGCCGATGAACCCGAACCACAAAGCCAGCTCGCCAAGAGCCTTGGGCGGTTTCCCGTCCAGTGGTTCATAGATTTGAGGTCGGCGGTCCCATTCAACTTGCCCAACCCCTACCACCTGCCCGGGTAGGTGATGTCGGCCGTGCGGGCGGTGATGACCTCGTGGACCCCGGTTGCCGAGACGGCGGTGACCATGCTCTCCCCTACCCAGCTCGTCCAACACTCGACAACGACCATTGGTCGGGCTATGGTCGAGCTGGTGCATGCTGCCGGGGTCATGCAGCGGGAGGTGGCCGCTCGCAACAAGGCAGAGGAGGATCTCGCCACTTGCAAGGGCCGCATCAGCGAAATGAAGGATGAGACCAAGAGGATCTCGATGCTGGAGAACGAGCTCGTCCTTCATCAAGGGGCGGCTGCCGTGGCGGAGAAGGCGACCGCCGAGGCTATTGAGAACTTGGCCCGCGAGAAGACGGCGTGGGCCGAGAAGATGGTCGAGCTGGAGAAACAGCAAGCCGCCGAGTTGTCTGAGAGTGAAAGGCGCC